TTCAATTCATTTGTGTATATATCCAGAAGCAGAAATGCAGAATAATATAATTCTTTTCTTAGTTTTTGAGGAATCCTCAAACATTTTCTATAGTGGTCACACCACTGTATATCCCCACTAGCAATGCACAAGGGTTCCAATTTCTCCATATCCTTGCCAACATGCTATTCATTCTTTTTTTTCTTTAATATTTTATGTACTTATTCATGAGAGAGAGAGAGACAGAGACAGAGAGAGAGAGAGAGAGAGAGAGGCAAAGACACAGGCAGAGGGAGAAGCAGGCTCCATGCAGGGAGCCTGACATGGGAATTGATCCTCGGTCTCCAGGATCTTGCCCTGGGCTGAAGGCGGCGCTAAACCACTGAGCCACGCTAAACCACCGAGCCACCAGGGCTGCCTCATTTTTTTTTTTTTTTGATAGTAGCCATTCTAATGGGTGTGAGGTGGTAGCTCATTGTGGCTTTGATTTGCATATTCCTAATGATTACTCTTGAGCATCTTTTCATGTGTTTGTTGGCCATTTGTATATCTCTTTGGAGAAATGTCTACTCACCTCCCCTCTCCTTTCTTAATTGGGTTAAGGTGTTCTTTTTTTATTGAGTTGTAGGAGTTTTCAAAAATACATTCTGAGTATTAACCCTTTATCACATATATCTTTGCAAATATTTATTCTGCGTTGTCTTTTCACTCAGATGATTGTGTTCTTTGATTCACAGTGTTTCTAATTTTGTTAGGTATAACAAAATACTTCTCTATTTTTACCTATGTTGCCTGTGCTTTGGTGTCAGAGCTAAGAAACTACTGCCAAATCCAGCGTTGTGAGGCTTTTCCTCTATGTTTCATTCTAAGGGTTTTATAGTTTCAGCTCTTACATTTATGTCTTTGATCCATTCTGAGAGGACTTTGCATGTGGTGTAAGGCAAGGGTCCAACTTCATTGTTTTGCATGTGCACATCCAGTTTTGCCAGCATCATTTGTGGAAGAGACTGTCCTTTCCCCACTGAGGGGTTGCAATACCTTTGTCAAATATCCTTTGACCATATACATAATAATTTATTTCTGGACTCTTTATTTCATTGATCTTTATGTCTGTATATCTATGCCATTCTGTAGGTTTGTAGTAAGTTTTGAGATCAGGAAGTGTGAGACCTCCAACTTTACTCTTTTCCAAGATTGCTTGGTTCTTCAGGATTCCTTAAGCTTCCACATTAATTACAGGATAGATTTTTCCTTTTCTGCAAAAAACACTGTTGGGATTTTAAAAGGAATTGTATTAAATAAAACTATCAAATTGTTTTAAAAAGTGTATATGTACCATATAGTGTATATGTACCACTATACATTCCCACCAGCAGTGAATGAAAATTCCAGTTATTCCACATCCTTGCCACTAGTTGGTATTGCCACTCTTTCATTTTAGCCATTCTTGTAGGTGTGTAGTGTTATCTTGTGCCTTTAAATTTGCATTTCTCCAATGACTAATGACATCTGGCATTTTCTCATTTATTTATTCACTATCTACATATTTTCCTTGGTGAAGTATCTGTTCAAAACTTTTATCTATTTTTCTGAGGTGTTTGTGTTCTCATTATTGAGTTCTAAGAGCTCTTTGTATGCTCTGGATACACGTCCTTAATCACATATGTGTTTTGCAAAGACTAGTCCATGGTTTATCTTTGTACTCTTAGCACTGTCTTTTCAAAAAGCATAGTTTTTGGGGTGCCTGAGTAGCTCAGTTGGTTAGGTGCCTGCCTTTGGTTCAGGTCACGATCCTGGGCCCCAGGATCAAGGCCCTCATTGGGCTCCCTGCTTCTCTCTCTCCCTCTTCTGTTCCCCACCCTCTGCTTGTGTTCTCTCTCTTCTCTCTCAAATAAATAAAATCTTAAAAAAAAGCATAAATTTTAAATTTCAATGAAATCCAACTTATGAATATGTTCATTATGTATTGTACTTTTGTCATATTTACAAAATCATTGCCCAATTCCAGGTTACTAAGATTAATTCTTAATTTTCATTCCTTTCTCTGTATTCAACTTTCTTATTTATTATATTTAAATTCAATTAGCCAACATAGAGTACATCATTAGTTTCTGACGTAGTTTTGAATAATTCATCAGTTGCATAAAACACCTGTGCTCACCACACCATGTGCCCTCCTTAATGTATTCAACTGTTTTTCTAAAGTAATTTTTGGGTATTTCCATCAAGCAGAGCCTGGCAAAGGTAAATTCTCATCTGGAAAGGCCTCTATTATATCTTCAAATCATATTTTAGCTAAGCAAATTACAGGCATTTCTCAGCATTCTGATTACTCTATTGTCTTCTGGCTTCTACAGCTGCTATGATGAAAAATTTTTGATAATCTAATTGTGATTTTTTTAAAGATAATTTTTTTCCTCAATGGTTTGAAAAAACTATTCTTTCATTTTGTTATATCTAATAATTATGCACTGAAATTTATTTATACACTTCAGGGCCTTTGTTTCCCAAATCTTTAGATTCATCTTTCACAAATGTTAGCCATCATTTCTTTGAATTTTGCTCTACTTTATTTCTCTTCTTTCTGGAACTCCTCTGAGGCATAGAATGAAACTGTTCATTCCACCTTTCATATCTCTTATCCTCTCTTTTATAGTTTGAGTCTCTTTTCTTGCTTTCTAGAGTTTAATAATTCTTTTAACCTACTTTTTACTTCATCCACTTAGTTTTTAAAAAATATCCTGATTTTTACTTAGCATTTTGATGCTTCTTCTGTAATATGCTGTAATTACTTGACATACTGAAGGTTCATTTAAAGTTACCTTGCTACTTCCTCAAATCAGTATCAATTTATGTTCATTAGTTTTTTTCTCTAGTGACAAATGCTTCCTTTGAACCTTCTGTTTCTCCTTTCGTCTAAGTTGTTTGAATTTTTCCATCTATATTGTAAAAAATTTCACTCACAGAAAATTAGAAGGAACAATATAATTAATATCCAAATTCTCTCTGCTTAGATTCTAAATGTTTTTTCATATTTATTTTCTCTAACATTTTGTTTTCTATCTTACCATTTGAAATGAAGTTTCCAAATTGACTGAGATAGAAGTAAGAATAGTGATTACTCTTGGAGGTGATTACTGAGTTGGAGGGGGCATGGGAGAACCCTTCTCAAGTTGCACTAGAAATGTTCTATATCTTCACCTGCGTGGCAGTTACACATGTATAAGGTCACTCTGTTGTACATTTGAGATTTGTATATTCTACTCTGTGTAAGTTTTATTTCAAAAAAGAAAAGTGGAAAAAGTTGTAGGTGTCATGACAATTTACCCCTAAATTTTAAAAAAATGTATTTTCTAATAAAGATATTCCACTACATAATTACATTCCTGTTATCATTTTCAGGAAAATTATTAATTCCATAATAACATAGTTAATCAACATTTGCCATTTCCCATAAAAAAATGCCTTTTATAGCTCATCCCTATCCTAGTTCCAAGCTAGGATCACATATTGCATTTGTTTACATCTCTTTAGTCTTATTTAGTGTAGAATAATCCCCAATTTGTTTTTTGTTCTCTGTGACAGTGACTCAGGCCATCTGTATTACAGAATGTCCAAATTCTGAATTTGTCCATTTCCTCATGGTACTTAACTTTTTCTTTTATCCGGTGTTTCTTGTAAAATGCAAAGTTCAGAAGCTTAACAACACAAATCATCTTTAGCAAGGATACTTCATAGATACTGTCATCCACTGAGTTTAAAATTTTAGGACCACCTAGCAGTTCTATTTGGTTCCTTCTAGAAGTCTTGTTGTTCTTAAGTCTTCTAATGCACTGATAAGCTCTTTACTTGTTTATTTTGTAACATGGGATTTTGAGTTTATCAATAGGCATTATCTCTGTGGATTCCACGAGACCTAGACAGGCCAAACAAGTTTTACATTTGCTCCTGCCTAGTGCCTCTCCAGGACCAGTTGTTGGGTTGAAAGATCCTGGACACCACCCATACCATGATGAGAACAGGTCTATAATGAAGAATTCAAGGGAAACTTTAACCTTTATCTGGACAGCTGAGGAAAACAGATAAGTTTTATTGTTATTTATGTATGCTGAGTAAATAGATTTTTCTTCTAGTTCACCCTTTTTCTGAGGGTAAATCTCTTCAAAGGTTCAGCTTTATGTGAGGATCTGAGATCCAACTACCTTGTGACACAGGCTCAAGACCTAATCTTACATCCCCATACACTGACACTTATATCCCTTTGTTTTTAAAGGTACAAACTGACCTTGCTGGAGGCCACTGCAGCACAGGTCAAACTTATTCCATGAAAATCCAGCATTACTACTAATGCTGTGTGAGGGGAAAAAAATTAAAACTACTTTGACTTCACTTGAATTTGGAAAAGGCTTTTTATTAATTTCAAAAATAACCACATACATTTTTTAAAGTAGTGATGTAGACAGGTGCATTATTATTAAATCCAATGACAGTACTTGTTGCACTCAAGGTTTATAGACCACCCATAAAATTGTGCAGATTTCCCTGCTTTAAATGTTACTTACAGAGTACTCTGTTCCAGTGGTAACACTAATGATCAACAAAAGTTATATATAGAGAGAAAAAAAAAAATCAAACACGCTAAAAATCCAACATTTGATAGTAAGTCCAAATAGGGGTTTCTCCAGGGCAAAGAATAAACTTACCTGACATATGATAGACAACAAACAAGCTCAAATCTTGAAATTCTTTTTGATTCTAAACTAGAACCACACTCCAATCTAAGTACAAGTTTGGCAGATAGTTAAAATGTCAAATCTGACACTAAACAAAATGTAATTTGTTCCACTTAAGAAATACAGACATTGGCACCAAATAATTATGTCTTTTCCACTCCTGGTTGAAATGGATGCTTCCATTTATATGACCATGGAGAGTGGAGTGGTATCATATTTCAGTTTCAACAACTACTCTTTCTGAAAAACACAACGAAAAAGCAATGATGATATTAAAAGTTGACTCACCACCGTCCTCTGTTTATTGGGTAGGAAGACTCTAACGATAGGTTTTTGTGGTGACTTGGGATTGCTCCGTGATATATCTGTGGGATTTTGAAAAACTGAAAGAGATGAAGGTAGCACTGAAAGACTAGAAGAGGAAGAAGATGTAACGGTGTCCGTTGATGCAGAGCTAGAAACAGAAAAATCAGTTCCATTCCCCAGGGATTCCAATAACTGTTGTTCTCGCTGTTGGAGGGCATCTAGTTTGCTGGTGTATTCTTCATAGGCCTATAAAATAAAGTAGACTTATGTTAAATCTGGATTTTTTTCCTGACAGTAACAAAAGGAAATAAGAAATTTAAGTCTGATTATAATCTCTTTATAATCTAACTAACAAGGTTTTAAATTAGAAATTACAAAATAAATGCTACAAGTATTGTAAATTAACTTCTACTCTTAATATGATAAATCTTTCGGATGCCTGGGTGGATCAGTGGTTGAATGTCTGCCTTTGGCTCAGGGCATGATCCTGGAGTCCCGGATCAAGTTCCACATCAGGCTTCCTGCATGGAGCCTGCTTCTCCCTCTGCCTATGTCTCTGCCTCTCTCTCTGTCTCTCATGAATAACTAAGTAAAAGCTTTTTAAAAAATTGATAAATCTTGTGTGATAAGATACTACACTGCACTGAGAAACTGACAAAAACATAAATGTCCGGAATATCCATGAATGTTAATTTAAAATTGCAATATTTAGAATGTTCTGGTCATATTGCAAATTACCTTCTAAACTGAGTATCTTACATAAGATAAAAATACTATAGACTACATCAAGGGACATACAATATTAAAATTTTATTTTATTTTATTTTTTTTCAGAAAACTTACAGGCATGTAAAGTTTCATACCTTTCTCCCCTCCAAAGAACAACAGAAAGACAGGCTGAAAAGGAGATGAGGTCTTAAAAAAGAGATTTATCAAAAAATAAGACTCAGGTACTGTGTCAGATCTCACCATTACTATCAAAATCTTAATAGAACTTTAAAGATGTATAATCGCCATCTTCTGAAATAGCTATTAGTTAAAATACTTTATTCTCTTCACTATGGATCCCTGATGATCCTATCAAATACTGCTTAGAAAATAAAATTTTATCTGATAAAGTGGTTTATACCCTATAGTCAAGAAATTTGGGGGCCATTATCCCATCAATTTTTTTTTCTACAAGTTTCATTTGACTAAAGCTACGAAGTCAAATGACCACATAAGATATCCTATTCTAGAAGTAAAGAATTTTGAAAACAGAGTGATACTGAAAGTAAAGAGATGGAATGAACTGGAATATATATGCTCATGGTTCTTTAAGGCAGTGGTAATCACTCTCCCCCACACCCCAGTTCACCATTTCTGTCTACCACCATACATAGATGCAATAACTACAAACATTTATAAAAGGCTACAAGAAAGAATCAAAGATTTTAAAATGGCACTTCCCGTCACTCAGAGCTTACTATTGGGCTGCAGAGAAGCAGGTAGATGTATTTTTATTTAAGTGTTATACATGAGAAACAGACAAAGAACATTCTTGATACAAGGTGACAATGAGGAAGGAAAGGGCCTTAAAATGTTAGCATTTAGATAGATGGAGTTAAGTGGGGGAGAAGAGAGTACTGTGTACAGGAAAATTCTGCCCCAAAATAAAGAGGTAGGAAATTTCAAGGCACAGAAGGAAAACAACAGACTAATATAATTGAATTCTATTCAATATTTGGGACATAGCAAGGGATCAATATATGCTTGTGGAATTTAAATGAAAAATCGCAATACAAGGAAACAATAAGACTGGAAAGGTACGTGAGAGACTAGCTTGTAGAAGGTGTAAATATCATGCTATGAAGCCTGAACTCCATTCCACAAGCAAGGGAGAATTATGAAAGGTTGAGGAGAATGAAGGAGAAATTTTATTTTAATAAAGACCACTGCACTTGCTATGCTAGATCTTAGAAAAAATACTAAACTGAGCCACTGAGGTAAATATGAGCCTAAAATTGCCTCTCCTTTATAGCCTACTAGCTGCCCTACTGATCCCAGAAACATTTCATAGCATCAGGGCATTACAACCAAGTCAATCCAAAATTTTCTAAGCTGTATTTTGATTCAGCTTTCAGTTCCAAGATCTAAGGCCATCTCTTTCAATATGATCCACTTTTTGAGCCTTTAAAAATCTGTCAATTAAGGGATGCCCAGGTGGCTCAGTCAATTAAGTATCCACTCTTGATTTCTGTTCAAGTCATGATCTCAGAGTCTTGAGATTAAACCCTACCTTTGGCTCTGCCAAGCATGGAGCTTGCTTAAGATTTCCTCTCTTCCTGTCCTTTCCCCCTGCACTCATACTCTCGTTCTCAAAAAAAAAAAAAAAAAATCAGTAAATTAATATACACTGAAAACACACGTGCCTGGCACTGTTTGGGGCTCAAACTACAAAAATAAAGACTGACACTTGGAAGAACATAAACATGCAGCCTACAAGATAAAAATTACCTCCTTGCATAGATCAAATCTTACTATCATCTTAGGCTAGTACATTTACAATACAAAGTTAGTCTTAGGAAAAGTAATACATGTAAACAAATTCAAAGAATGTTATCAAAATGTTAGTTAATTTGAATTTTTGAAAATATACTATTAATTTTTGAAAATATACTATTTCCTTCATTGTGGATTACAAGTTATTTTACTGCATTTATCAATAGCTCTTCTTTTCCTCAAGTACAAAGCATTTACTCAATTCTACCTTCCTCCATCCTCACAGCCACAATCAAGGCACTAGTCTGCCTTCTGTACATGGCTGGGCTCATTTCTTCCCATTATCTTTACTGCATTCAATGTGGATTTTAACATTCCTGCCTTGAAGTTCTCTAAATCTCTTATGTCTTACGGTATTTATTTTTCACTCTACCTTCCAGATCCAGGAGTTCCAAATGATGAGAAGATCTCAATTTGGAATTTCTCCTGTCCCTGAGCACATCTTCTTCTTCTTCTTCCTTTTTTTTTTTTAAAAAAAAGATTTATTTATCTATTCATGATAGACACCGAGAGAGAGGCAGAGACACAGGCAGAGGGAGAAGCAGGCTCCATGGCAGGAGCCTGATGCGGGACTCAATCCCGGGACCCCAGGATCGTGCCCTGGGCCAAAGGCAGAAGCCAAACTGCTGAGCCACCCAGGGATCCCCGTGAGCACATCTTCTTAAGTTTCCATCTCACTACATTAATCTGTGCACGAGCAACATTAATCCTTTCAAGTTTCTTAGAACTGAGCCTTCACTGTCTTAACTCCCCTACTTTGTGGCTCACCATTTCAATAATGCCACCAATAACATCTCTGATTCTCTGGCTAATTCTTACTCTTTTACCAAATTGCTTCTCAAATCCTAACATTCAATTACTCCATTCTTTCTTTCTTTCAGGTTAGTAAGAAATTAGTAAGACAAAGCCAATTAATTCCATCATCAATTCATGGAAATTAGTCCTTCACGCTACTACCTGAAAAATTTTACTTATTTTTCAGTATCATGATCTTACATTTTTCACTAGAATTACTCTAACCTCTTCTGTGCTTCTTTGGCTCCCTTCCTTCATCCTCCAATTTTTACTTTACTAAGGAAAAAGCAATAATAGCATAATAGCTTTATTTGTGATAGCCAAAAAAGAGGGAACTCAAACATCCAACAATTGATAAATGGATAAACGAAATTTGTATATACATACAATGGAACCAAAAAGAATGAATGCTACACTGAATGCTACATGCTACAACATGGATGAATTTTGAAAACATGCTAAATGAAAACAGCCTGTCACAAAATGCCACATCATGTATGATTCCATTACATGAACTGTCCTAAAAGGCAAATCTACAGAAATATAAAGCAGATTAGTGGTTGCCAGGGGCTGAAGGGAATGACTGCTAATGGGTAAAGGGTCTCTTTTTGGTGTAATAAAAATATTTTGGGGGCAACTGGGTGGCTCAGTGGTTGAGCATCTGCCTTTGGCTCAGGTTGTGATCCCGGGATCCTGGGATTGAGTCCTGCATCAGGCTTCCTGCGGGGAGCTTGCTTCTCCTTCCACTATGTCTCTGTCTCTGTGTCTCTCATGAATGAATGAATGAATGAATGAATGAATGAATAAATAAATAAATAAATAAATCTTTTTTAAAAAAGAAAATATTTTAGAATTAGTGATGGAATTGGTGATGACTGCACAACTCTGTGCACATATTAAAAAACTGGGATGCCTGAGTGGCTCAGCAGTTGAGTGTCTGCCTTTGACTCAGGGTCTGATCCCGGGGTCCCTGGATCAAGTCCCACATTGGGCTTGCTGCATAGAGCCTGCTTCTCCCTCTGCCTGTGTCTGTTTCTCTCTGTATCTCTCATGAATAAATAAAATCTTAAAAAATAAACAAACAAATAAATAAAACCACTGAATAGTATACTTCAAAAAAGTGAATCTTATGGTATGTGAAGCATTTCTCAATTAAAAATGGGAGGAAAACTAAGGATCTACTTTAAACAAATAGGAAAAAGAAGTAAAATTAAAAAAAATTTTATCATTAGTTCATTAAATTTATTCTTACTAACCTTCATCTCACAAGATACAATGAAATCTTGCAGACTACCCAAAAATGCTATTTAATGAACTGCTCTGCATTCCACAGGAAGCACCTTGCTTCTAGGATTCTTTCATTTTAATAAAATTTCTCTGCATTATCCTGGATTCTACACAGATTAAAGATCAAAAAGGCTGTCAGCATCATAATGATATAGCAGTTAAGAGCAGACTCTGAATTCAGAATGTCTAGATTCAGAGTATGGCTATATACTAATTGTGTAGCCTTAGCCAGTTATTGAACTGCGCCTGAGTTTCCTCATCTTTATAAAATGAAAATAAGTGTAACTCTTAGGGTAGGTTAAAGACTAAAGAATCTACTATATGCTTGGAACAGTCCCGGTATATAGCAGGAATTCCATAAATGTTAGGAGTTACTACTGTTTTCATCTATCTGTCTGCAGGGAACCCTAGTAGATAGATAGATAGATGATAGATAGATAGATAGATAGATAGATAGATAGATTGATTCTGTGGAAGCTAGGACTCAGTATGTAACACTAGATAAGCAGGGTGATTCCCCAAAACACTATTACTTTACTTCTGGAATTCAATATAAATCAGGACTTTACTACTAGAAGAGCATCTAACATTATATCTTATAAACAGAAGGGATTCAAATAATT